TGTTTGAGAGCCACAGGAATGTGAATGAAAGGATTTAGAAACATGCAGGCGAGCTGTGGGGTCGAGGACACTCACTGTGCTATAACCTGGTCTAAACTCAGCAACAAGATGTCAGATTTTACGTGTAAACATTTATCATGCACTCAATTTACCACCTTTCTACTTCTTATTAGTCATGCAGCTAATGTGTTCATGTAATAAGTTACAGGAACATGAGAAAGTTCAAATAAGAGGACAGTATTTGATCCATGTAGCCCTTTCGGTTACTGATATCAGTTTGATTATATAACCTCATGGAGCCGTTCCTCGAAAGTAAAGAGGCTGTTGGTTTCAACAAAATGTCTGGATTGCCTGTGCCACTCTCACACAACTCTTTGCGTAAAGAACTTCTAAATACACTTCCCCATGACATCCTTTCACATTTCACTTGGTTCATGTCAAAGTAGTCCACGTTGTATGACTGCAACTCAAATTTATTTTAAATGGTTACCTGCAGCAACTACTTCACTCATTAGCATAAAACTAGAGCACTGTACTGAAGTATATGTTATATTAAAAAAAAACTCAAATTTCTCAGCCTCAGTGCAACCCCAATTCTAAACTTTAGACCATTCCCTAAGCATTATATATGGATAAAAGGTTATACTGCAGCCTCAGAGACCAGGAGGAGCTGGAGACGATGGCTTCACTCGTTAAACCAGATAGACCCACCAGTGCTTTTGAAGAGTTGGAGCCTACCTGGCAGGAGATGAACCATTTCCTAAAAAGCTCTTGAGCAGGATCAGCACCAGAGCCAAATGGTGTCCAGTAGAAGACTCCCAAGTTCAGCGAGAGGCTCAGGAGCAGACTCTGGGAGCTGGTGAAAGCAGCAGGGAGGTAGAACTCAGTCAAGGAAAGCTGGCTGATTGCAAAGAGGTGTATGAGGCCATGGGGGTAGTGACTGCCACTATGGACAACTCAGGCTCAGAGTCTACTCTGTCGCTGATGCCTCTGTCCTCTCTAATCTCCTCTGAGATCAAGCCCTAGGCCCCTCACAATGCTGA